ATATAATATTACGTATATATGTATATAATATACAATTAAAGAATATTTAAAAATTTGGTGCACTGAGAAAAATGGTTTTTATTATATTAATAAAACGCTTCTGATAGAGTGTATTTTTGTTAAACAAAACAGAATTTCTGGTCATCGTAACAAGATTTTACATTTTATAGCTACATCGTTTGGTTAATTTTACTATAAAGATCTGATTAAGTGTTTTTTTGTTGGAGCTACAAAACTTCTTGTTATATTTACAAAAATTGCAGCGCTCTGCAACAGTTTCGTCATTACTCACTGAACGGTTGATCAACTGTTCGCTGCATTCATTTGTTACACTGCTACTGCGCCTTCGTTACTCGCGGCAATCGTTCTAAAGTCTTTCAACAACAGAATGTGTGAAATCTGAATTTATTTGTCCGTACGTAATTGAACGTCGACCTCAATTCAGCAATTGTTGTCTTATTGTGAGAAATTAAAAAATATATAAAGTCACAGAATTATTAATTACTTAAAGATTTATAATATGTGTATCCGTTGACACTCAGAAAAAGTCGATAAGTTTCTTGTCTCGATTGTCAATCCGAATGCGGCCAATTAATGGAAATTCACATACTACTGTCATTCTACGAGTTGCGTTTTTAATTGTATTCGTTTTCTTTACACTGAAGATGGCCAAAACGTTTCATCATATCTACTTATAAGCATTTGATCATATCTATAAGCGTTAATGATCATATTTATAAGCTTCAATGTAAAATAATTGATTGAGCACTGAGATCCAGCTACGGCTTTATTTGCTTTATATTATTTATTTTATTATAAAATAATAGAAGAGCCCTCAACTCTAATTGATTATTGTTATTTATTGAATAAAAGAAATATTTTTTATTAAAAGTATTGTGCATATTAATATTAATTCCTTTTAAAATAGCGATGTTGTTAATTTTTTTATGAATTTTTAAATATTACTTATGACTACAAAATGTTTAAGTTATAATTTTTTAAATTACAAAAAGAACGGAAAAGAAAAAAAAAACTGATACGCTAATTCAAAACAATTATTATAAAAACATATTATACAAATGGAAATGTCGAAATATTTACCAAATCGATCAATGCGCATAACTAGGCCAGCAGTTTGAGACGTTTTGCTTTCAATGGCAAATGTGGGTTAGTGAAACTTTCGGACCGTTACCAGTGCCAGGTGAGTCTTCCCGAATTAAAATACATTAAATATAATGAATAAAAATAGAAAAAAAAATTTTATCTATAGCATTTAATAATTTTTAAAGTAATGTTTAAATTTTTTCCAATATTTTTAATAAAAATAATGACATACAACTTATGTAACAAAGATAGCATCAAGGTTTTGCATTAGATAACAGATTACATATCTTATATCAGCGCTCGGAATTAGTTGCACATTTCGGGCCGATTTCCGAGACGACGCCTCCTGTTCCCCCACTACCGCCCGGCCGCTGGCGCCCGAGCCGCCGATAGCTCTGGCTCAGGAGCGTTTTATATTAGAAATAGACTGGATTGTTTAGGCATCTTTTAGGAAATCGTAACATTTTCTTCATTACATAAATAATGTTTATTTTTATTATTACATAATATATATATATTTAATTATTAATAAAATAAACATTATTTATGTAACAAAGAAAATATTACTATTTTCTGAGAGGTACCTCAACAACCCAGTTTATATCTTATATAAAACGCTCCTGCGCCAGAGCTATCGGCGGCTCGGCCGCCAGCGGCCGGGCGGTAGTGGGGGAACAGGAGGCGTCGTCTCGGAAATCGGCTCGAAATGTGCAACTAATTCCGAGCGCTGTCTTATATAATAAAGATAATTGATATGAAGAAACAAAAATCTGACCTATATAAGGAGTCGCAAAGAATACTGCGACGCATTACATTGAATATACAGAAACACTGACCGAGTTGTGAAGCAAGTTAAAGTTGCAATTGTTAAAGTTGTAAATATGGTAAACCCAAGGGATTATGCTTCATCTGACAATATTCAAAGATACAATGTATCACGTTTAATTGATGAATTAGCTGATGATTTAAAGGAAATCTCCGGAAAATGTATGGATAACGGTTGTGGACCGGGAGATATAACGAATGATATTCTTTTGTCATCTCTTGACCCAAATGCAATAATAATTGGTAAGTGAACAAATAAATTGTTTATATACAACAACAAATTGTCGTGCATTATACTTTATTGTTAATCCGATTATTGTATATCATGCAGGTACGGATATTTCACAAAGCATGATCGAATATGCAAATATGACGTACAGTGACGGGAAACGACTTGGATTCGAAGTATTAGATATCCAAACTAAAAAGGAGGTGTTAAATATAGGTCGATTTTGGCCCATGGTGTGGAACCAAAACTACAAATGATTTCTTATAGATTTCATACCGTAGAATCACGTGGTAAAGTTTGTTTTCCTCCAGACACCGGGAAAAGTACGAAAAAATTGAAAAAAGACCATGAAAAATGGAATTTTCCGAGCTGGTTGAAGCTTGAAACATTCCTGCAGCGATTTTAAAAAAATGATTTGTCGCTCTTGTTCTTTTGCAGGGAGGAAGTTCTGAGGCTCTCACATGACATACAAAAAAGACCGATCCGATACATGCGTAGAAAGACACCCTTATACCCGAAAAACCACTCCCAAAATCACTTAAACGATTCTCGTCAAGCTAAGGGTGTCTTCCGACGCATGTATTGGATCGGTCTCTTTTGCATATCGTGTGAGAACCTCGGAACTTTCTCAGTGCAGAAGGAAAAAAACTACAAATTATTTTTTGCTAGGCGAGAATTTTTTAGGCACTCTGGGGTGGTTTTTTGAGTATAAAGGTGTCTTCCGACACATGTATCGAATCGGTCTTTTTTGTATGTCATGTGAGGGCCTCAGAACTTCCTCCCTGCAAAACAACAAGAGCGACAAATCATTTTTTTAAAATCGCTGCAGGAATGTTCCAAGCTTCAACCAGCTCGGAAAATTCCATTTTTCATGGTCTTTTTTCAATTTTTTGTACTTTCCCCGGCGTCTGGAGGAAAACAAACTTTACCACGTGATTCTACGGTATGAAATCTATAAGAAATTATTTGTAGTTTTGGTTCCACACCATGGGCCAAAATCGACCTATATTTAACATCCTCCTTTACCAATTAGCACAGAATTTCGCGCGCTCAGGAACATCGCATCTCGAAAAGACCCTTGCACAACACTTTATTCAATACGTTTTATTCACTTAACTCAGTTTTTATTCACTTTATTTACTTTATTTACATTGTTCGCAATACTAACAAATTTACTAACAATAATAATTTCTAAATTATATTAAAACGCGATGCGCGTCGAACTGTCAAAGCAGTCATGCCATTGACAAATGACGTTTCTTATATCATGAGAGAAAATCATTACTATCGGTACGAAGTATGATCTGCTACATAAAGTGTTGTGCAAAGGTGCTTTCGAGATGCGATGTCTCTGAGCGCGCCAAATTCTGACAAGCTGATTGGTAAACTTCAAGCCTTTCCCATTCAAATACTATAGTAGTCTTGACATTTTGGTATTAAGATTTTCGTCTCCAAATGACCTCAGGAATTTGCCATTAACGGGTGATACGGTAAGTCTGGGACACCCTGTATAATTATATATAATATATTATATTGTATTAAGATTTATTAACATTTATTATTGCAGAACGTGTATTGTTAATACATTAAAATAAAGCACTTAAAATAACGCAATTAAATTGACGCACGTAAAACTTTTTGTAAAATGTTAATTAATATCAGCGTCATGTAGAATGATCAATGTTTTGGCAAAAAAACGCTATTTTGCATAAAAAGCAGTTATGCAAAAATGGTAATTTCGCAAAAAAGACTCCAACATGTACACTAACGGATCCTGATGTCAATAATAGGGGGGGGGGGGCG